TGGAGCGCACACACAGTGCAAGAGACGGGAAGTAAATCTAATCAGGAGCTCTTAAATCATTTAAACATAGGGAAGGCTAAGAAAGGGAAGGTAACTTTTCGGTTAAATGAAGCTTTTCATTTCCCTCTTATCAAAACTGTAAGTTGAAAGACAGGAAAAAGATATTCAAATACTCACAAAAATATCAGTGATTTCAGAAGAATTTTATTTCAGTCATCAGATTCTATTACTAAAGGGACAATGTGATTGCAACTTCGTATCAGCTCGCGCTTCTGAGTAAAGGGTCTCAATTGTATCCCCTCTTCCTATACGTCGATCCTATGGGAACATTTAGCTCGGCCATCGAGATGATGAACTGATGATGATCTTGAGTTATTGCGGAACACTCCAATTAAAGCAGCCTGGTTACTACAGGAATATCGGAACATCGGGGTTTCGCATGATGAGACAGTTATCACTCAGTGACTCTGACAATTTTTGAAGGGGTCCGACCTCCTTTGAAAATAAGTCTATTTGTTTAACAGCATACTTAAGACAAAGTGACACAAGAATTAAACCTTGACGAGTGAAAAATCAGTGACCTGGATATAGACTGAACAATGCAGCAAGTTATTTAAGAGTTTCTGACAAAAACTGCAATTTTCCCATCCCGCCTACCCTTTGATTTCTTATGCAGAGGGTTAGCCTAACGAGAAATACATGCACGCAGCAACTTAGTTATGAGTTACCCTTTCGCCATTTTTTGCCATCTCCAATGTATGACTAAAATAAATCTTTCGTTAACCTTTTAGAAATATTCCGAGTTAATAAAAAGCCACGGAAGAGAAGAATGAATCGTTATTGCATAATTATTGTGATTTTTTGTGCGTGTTGTTTATCAGTTTGAGTTGATCTTGTGAGTCACGTCTAAATATTCATTTTCATCATGAGTATTTACATATATTGAATTTCTAGTCAACGATCAGGATTAAAGATGTTTATTTTCCAACTATTTATAGCTTCTGATGGACTGTTATGATTCTTGGACATGCTCAAAAATTATTACTGATTTTGGCCTGATTTTTCACTGCTTCGCTTAATTTGTTTCACTTCTCACAACATTTTGATTTCATTGGTTCTTTGTCTTTGCAGTTGATGGTTTCGTGAGCTAGTGTTTAGGTTTGTGTTCAAAGACAATTTCTTTAACCTCGAGGGTTACACGGCACAGTTTTTGAGCCCTACAGATAGAAGAGACTGGAGTGAATATGAAAGCAAATTAGACTTGGAGATGTATGGTGTGTCAGTAAACCTAAGAAATCCATGAGCAGCACGATGGATATAAGTTATTAGTACTCCCCGGCAGTTTAACCAATTCTACACAGCTCGAGCAGTTATTCCGTTAATTTATGAAATACTAACGTGTAAGGCATGTCGCGTTCTCAGCGCAGTGTTCAACCGAAACACGAAGAGTATGCAAATCGATGGTTTATTTACCTTCAGTGTCGAATGGTGAAACTACATGTAAATAAAATACAGAAAACGATGAAACGAAAACAGAAAATACGACAAGGCAAAAACAATAAAATAAAGAAAAGATGAAAACTTACATGGATGGTGCTGCGATGAATGATAAACTGACAAACTGAGGTAAGAAAGTGAAACCTACCGAAACTAAAAAACGCAACACACGAGCTCTCAACCGAACGGGCCTGAGAAACTAAGCTGACCGAGTGGGTCCCAGGGCCCACTGACAAAAAAAGGCGGTTGTGCCCATCCGGGAACTGCCTGGCGGTGGCTTTGTCCCGTGTGGCTTTTCGGGCAGAAATAGGTTTTCAGAAGAACGTTTTCAAATCGATGATGTTATAAGGATTTTACAGTCATTAAATTTCGCTGTGTTGGTTAATATTGGACTTAACAGCGGCAAAACCCGTAACAAGGCAAATAAATATGAGTGGTGTAAAGATTGGAGAAAAGTTGACAGAGTAGCTCAGTAAATTTATACCTGGAGTCTACAGATATTTGCATTTGATGACGACTTGGTTTTCACACAATGCAGAACCACCTCTGTCGGAAGCTATCTTCATTGCAACGCAATCCATGATATGGAGTAAAGACAAAACACATCATACGAAGCAGTTGATCTCTTAATCTTAATCCAATCCCCGAGGCAAAAAATACTCTGAAAACATTTTCAACAAAACAATTAATAAAAAAGTTTTCTTCGTTGTCGGTAATGTTTTTAGTCCACGCTGGAGTTTGAATCGTCACTTTTTCCTTGTCGTTGTCTCTGTTAATTGCTTCCGAATCTGAAACAGCTGCCTTGGCTGCAAACGAACAGGATCGTGCTGCAATATTACTTCCGACTTCAAATCAAATGACCATTGTTTCATTTCTCAGGTTAAAACTACGTCTCTTGGAGCGTGATTGCAGATCGAGGAAAATCGGTTGAGGACAGTGGATTTTGGAAGAATAGAGTACGACAAAATTGAAAATATAAATTGAAATATGAATTGAAGCATTGATATATCTAAGTTATGAAACATATAAGACATGTTAAGGTGCCTAATTCCTCCTCCCTGTAAGAAAGAGGAAAGTTCATAAGCAAATGAGAAACTGAGGCCGATGATTGCCGAACTTAAAGCTAGCAGGATCACATCCGCTAAGATCTAATAAATGAGAGAAAAATTCTGTTTCTTCGATTTATTTTTTTTTTAAGCAACAGCACACCGGCAGGATACCTGAGTATCAACTGAAAACCATAACAGGAATGTCTCGAGTAGAAAGTTTCCAAGATGGAAACACTTTATCCACTAAGGACAAAGTTATGCTCTCGTAACAGCCAGTTAATCGGGTATGTAAGCGTAGTACGTTTGTTTTCTGGTTAAAGTCGACACCCACATCATTTCCCTTCACCAGTTCTATAAACTAAAATATTGAATTCGAGATAAGAAGTTCTGTCAACCAGCTGATGTTCCCCAATAAGTCTTCATCACCACAGAAAATCCTAAAACCTCGAATTGATCCCAAATACTTCAAAGCTTATCGCAGTCAATTTTCAACTTGATCACCTGCAAAGCTTCTTAATATGGCCAACCTTAAACCATCTTCGTCTCCAAGAAATGAGCTACAAGTTAAGGTGTTTGTAGAACTCACCAAACTAGTTTTAGCGCTCTTCTTCCATTTCAAATGCCTTTCTACGTTAAGAAAGTATTAGCTCCTCTAAAGACGAACTAAAAAATACACGAGTTAATAAAAGAGGTTTAAAATCCCTTCAGTCACAACCCCTTTTGGTCTAACAGCTGGTTGAAGAGCCAGTTTTCTCATCCCGTCATACAAAATGTAAAATAATATAAGCGCAAGCAACCTTACATAAATCATATCTTTTTGACAGTCCGGTGTGGGTTAGATCAGCGAGTAATCTCAAAAACCGAACTGAACTATCAAAACTGTTTCTAAGTTATTTGTTATGTTTGTTTGTTGTTGTCGTTATTTCGTATATCTTTGTCGTCAAAAGTTTAGTTTTTGAGATCATTCAGCTTCTAAAAAATAAAAGGTAAGCTTGAGCTGGAGATGCACAAGAGATAAGAGGATAAGGATTAAAACATTTCTTCTAAACTAGATACCTTGAGATGAAAAAGATATTTCAGATAAAAAATGAAAAGAAAACTTCTTTCTAATTTTCTGCAGGTCGACACCGAGGTAAAATTTAAGAAAAGAAAAAACCTTTAAGTGAAAAGCGAGTGCTTTTAAGCATTTTATTGGTTGGTTGGCCAAGTCTGATGCAGGAGTATGATTTTAAATCTGTGATTTTCTCAACTTTTGAATGACTTTCCAACTTCGTAAAAGTAAGTAAAACCGAGTAATTGTTCTTAGAAATACGGCTTCCAGAATTCGAAAATAAGTGAGATAGGCTTGTAGAGAAACGGACACGAACTTGTGAAACACCTTGTACACGAATATCCAGCTCAAACATCCTTCAGTGATTCAAGTCCAGGTCAAGTCCAAGTGTAAATGAGTCTGAAGCTACTTTTGATGACTGTCAGCGGACGGAGCCTCCAGAAAGTCTGGACTGGGAACCTAAGGACGTAACAGAAAGAGGGAAATAAAGACTCACTGAGAAAGAAATGTCATGGCGAAGTTGGAAAAATTCTCACTTGCATAGCGTCATGCCTCAACATCCTGGTTTAAGCTGTCGTAACAATTACTTTGTATTTAAGTCACAAAAAGAGACCAATTGTACAAACAAAGAAGGGTAAATCATTTTGGGAAAAGATATAATCTAGAAAAACTCGAGGGACCTTTTAGGAGGGATCCAGTGAGTACTGGGGGCAGGGGGCAGAATTTATCCTCCTTATTTATCCCTAATATGTATCCCCGGAAACAGCTTATCTACGCACCAGTCTCATCTAGAATTGTCCCGTGGTTCTCCTTTCGTTTCTCGTGCGCCAGGTGCAGGGGGCCCTGGACTAAAGAGTGCACGTCATAAGTCACGCTATCACTCAGTTCACGTTTTCCTCGGCCACTTAAGGGACATTTCATTGAGCATTTGGAGCGTGGGTCGGTTGCACTGCATACAGTCACATGGCAGTGGACGAAAACAAAGGGATGAGCAGCGATGAACTTGAAGGCTTCCACGCTAAACCGCTGAGCATTCGAAGAAGGTGCTGAATGATATTTCACTGTTACGTCACTTGGGCAGCTAAAGAGAAGAAATGTTTTTTATGAAGGTGAAATTACACCTACGAGAGTTCTTAACAAAGTTTTAAATTTGCATTGCTGACTACAACTGAAATCAAGATAGCTGAGTGTATCTAACTTTACTTGCATATCACTAACTAATAGTTATTTACTTTTCAAGTGATCGCTGAATAAAATAAAAGAAAATGTATGATTTTTCAAAGTGAGTAGAAATTGAGAGTTCCCAACAATCACCAATAGACATACCCTTTCTTTATAAACTCATATTTCAGAGAGTTCTTTTGATCCTGGGTAGGCGTGGCATAACATTGATCCGCTCTGATTGACAGCTTTTTGTCATTTGTTGCCGTAGATACCTCAAAGAACAATCGTCGATGCAGCCTCACAGCAACAGGAAAATCATTTTTCAGGTAAGGTTTCACGAATCTCTTGCTGTGAAACATTCTCAACGACAGTTTCAAGTTCCCTTTGGCTGCCATATCATGGAATTCAAGCGTAGTGTTTATTGGTTTCCAGCCAAGCGATGAAACTACACCATGAGTGGAATAATAACAGCTAAACTGCACTTTTATGTCACGCACGCGTGTCACGGCACTGTTAGCGGCCGCGGGTATTTCCAGTGTGTTGGAGTAGATGATAGCTGTAGGTGTATACCTGCTGGTTGTTTTACAGCCGGTCAATGGTGTTGTAACGGTAAGGTGGGTCCGTCCTTCTTTCCCTTTACATTTGGTGTCCAGGAGTCGAAGATTCTTTGGATCAAGACCACGGATAAGGAACTTTGGGATGACAATGGTCATATTTTTATCGTCGCAGAGGACATTTATTCCGGAAGCTTTTAGTAAAAATACAAATATACCAGTATAATAGTATAAACATACAAAACTTTCCCAATTTTCAGTGCCAAATGAGTGCATGTAAGACAACAATCGTACCTGCTGAGCAACCATACAACTCCATCCTTAGTGATATGTGACCATACCATGCTGTTGGTCTGAGTTTGATGTAGCGAGCTTTGATGGGTGGGTTTAATTTGTGATAAACAATGCTGTCCCTGTTTTTATTTCCTTTGAAAACCTACAAAGACATAGACTTAAGTGGTCAGTTGCCACAATAATGCCACTCCTGTTAGATTATGAATGATCCTTCATTAACACCACCACCAAACTTTATCGATAGTTTCGTGATTTGACATTCAAAGTAAATTACATGCAAAAACAACAAATAACGAATTATTACTTTCAAGTTACGAATCATTACTTTCTGACATACAGAGAGATTATTACAGTCGAACCTGTAATAAAGAGGTACCGCTGTATCAAGCGGTCAGTCGTCAAAGTTCCGAAGTTGTTTCCCCAAAACACTTAAAACTTTTACCCCTATTTAGCGGTCACCTCTATTTAGCGGTCACCTCTATTTAGCGGTCGTGGTCACCCTTTACTAAGTTCCAACGACCTGTTTCTATTGTCTTCCTCCTAGCTAGAACCAAGCGCAACCACTCCCAACGGAATATCGTTTATTACTTACTTTAATTTTAATTTACTTCCTTTAATTTTACTCACTTTAATTTTAATTTTTGAAACGATTTGTGATTTGTTGATATGGGAATTTTCTTCTTTAAAGAGTTCATGACATAAGTCAGTATAGTGCTGAGTTTTCACTAAAAAGCCTGATTCTGTCTCTGCCGAAGAGGGGGGAGAGGGAAGGGAATGCGCCAATTCTTGAAGTAGCTTTGTTTTGCAACTCGAGTCCCGATTTTTCTATGCAATGAAGCTATTGGCGGTAGAAGACTGTGGATTGTAAGAGTGAATACTAAGAGTGTAAGTAAACATGTGCAATATGTTCAATTATTCCTTGCCATTGCTAACAGCCTGCACTAGAATAAACAACGGTGTTTAAGAAGGGAGCGATGAAGGTGTGACACTAGCATTAATAACTTACGGAATATCGATTGCATGATCATTTCTATTACCTAGGTATATAAAGCGCAAGGCCCGTTTCTGTAGAACTGAAATCTTATCCAGATGTAACTTGTTGGCCTGACAAAGAGCAGTTAGTCTGTAAATCATGAAGGAAACAATAATGCAGTGACTGGCGGGGGAATTAGCTTCCTCCAAATGTGTCGAAGATACTCGCCATTTTACATGACACCAGTCCCCTGCTATAAGTTAGGCAGCAGTTCCCAGGCTCTCGTTATATTTCTTTTTGGTTTGAACTCAATTATCAAATTATACATTTTACCTTAGGTGAACTCTGTCCTGGAACTTTATAGTAGTAGAAGTTCACCCCATCTTTACTGTACTGCAGCTTGTATGCTGTTACCCACTGGTTGTGAGCATTCCTTCCCTGTGTTGCTATACTTGTTAATTTGGTGTTACTGCCAAGAGCCACTTGGATCCATTGATTTCCATTATTCTGGCGAGCTGACCATCCTCCTTGTTTGCCTCCACCAGCCTTAAAGTTCAATCTTCCTTGGATTGCTGCATGATTTCTATCCCATTCTGAAGATGCAGTGATTTGAGGTCAATTTTCATCTCTTTAACATTTTTCATACCTTGGCAACCGTAAAGCTCCATCCTTAGTGATATATGACGATACCATGCTGTTGGTCGGAGTCTGATATAACGAGCTTGGATTGGTGGGTTCAGCTTGTGATAAACAACGCTGTCCCTGTCTCTATTTCCCTTCAATATCTGTCACATAAAAAACGAACTTAATTAGAAACATGTTTCTACTGTGCAAAAGACAAAAGTGAGAAGATTGGCAAATGATTGAATATTTTAGAACCTATGAAAAATAAGAAAATGTAGTAATAACGTAGTTAAAATTATCAAAAACTGAGGTTTGCACATTCCGTAACAGGGCAATTTATTAAATTATATATATATCTCGTTGAATACATGATCAAGCGATGATGAGTCCATTAAGTGGGCTGTATTTTACCCAACTGATGACCCTCTCAATTTAAAAGTTTGTTTGAATTCAAGTCTCCCCC